GGAGCTTGTGCCAACGTAATCTGAGTATAAGGCAAGACATATACAGACGGCGCGAATATCTCAAAAATACCCAAGTCGAATAATATTTTCTGTCAATTCGCTATTGCTCCCACATACAAACAGATTCATCGTTCGTTGTCATCTGAACGCACCCTCGGATGGAAAGATCAGACTTAAAAAATAATCATCCAATTCAAAGTCATTATCCATCGTCATGTTTTTTTACTGAAAACAGGACTTTCGGAGACTGCAGTCTATCTGTCTTAGCTTTCAGGTAAAAACCTACTACTATTACTTTTTTCCTTCCTTGGCACTACAGCCCCAGTGGGCCTAGGCCTACCTCAAATGAACTTCTCCGTTCACTTCGGGTTTTTTAGATCTTACACATTCGGTAGGACTCCTTGGGCGAGTGATCAGCTCGTCGCAAGGCCTCTACATGTATACAAACACAGAAAAACGCACACACACAAACTAAACATCCACGCCCTGAGTGGAATTCGAACCAACGATCCGGTTTCCAAGCGAGCGAAGACAGTACATGCCACTACTACTACCACCAACAACACGGTCACCGAGCCTCCTTATCATTACCACTTCAAGCTTGACCGCCGCCAAATGTAAGTCTCTTGTATTTTGTACGAAGGCAAATCGAAAAGTTATTGCCCCTATTTTTCAGCCACAATAAAAACATAGAGGTAAATCAAAATACAGACAATGTTCTAAGTACATTTGACTATTTTTCCACATAGTCACCACCCCGGTTCTGGCATTTGTCCCATCACGAGTTGCCGCTGTTGTAGAATTCGGCCGGTTGAGCGCTTAACCACCGCCGGACAGCGGATTTCGCGTCTTCGCCGGAAATGACTGCAGTCGCGCCCGGGGACCTCGTGGACGATGCGGTTCTTCTCCATGACAACGCCACGCCTCATGTGGCAAACGGGACCGCCGCCCGACTGCAGCCATTCGGATTGGAGATTATGGAGCATGCACTGTATAGTCCAGACCTCGCCCCAGTGATTACCACGTGTTCGGTCCACTGAAGAAGTTCCGGGCAGGCCAGAGGTTCATTTCCGATGACGACACGAAATTCGCTGTCCGGCGGTGGTTCCGGGCTCAACCGGCCGAATTCTACAACCGCGGCATCTCCAAACTAGTGGTGCGATGGTACAAATGCCACAACCGGGGTGGTGACTATGTGCAAAATAGTCAAATGTACTTAGAACATTGTCTGTATTTTGATTTACCTGTATGTGTATTATTGTGGCTGAAAAAAATAGGGGCAAAGACTTTTCGATTTACCCTCGTATGTCTCATCTCTGTGAGAGACGCCATTTCTGGAAATTACGGGGGGCCTGGCGGTAAAGATAGGTAATGTGGAGACATACCGCCCATATTGAAATCTCTGAAAATTTGACTTTCCGCTGAGACCGCTTATATGTGGGTATGCTTCGTAGTTGCCCCGTAATTTATACCCGAAAATGTATCAATCATTTACGGGCACGCTGTACACAATGAGGAGCTCAACAATTCGCACTCATAGTCATAAAGTTATCTAGTAATGTGAGGACATGCCGGGCTTGTAGCACGAATGGGAGACATGCATAAGAAATGATTCAGAAAACCTGTGGGTGAGGCAGGAGACCGCTTGGGACATATGAGGTTAACACAGAGACAGAAGTTGCAGAAACTGAGTATGAACTTCTGGACTGTACTGACACCCGACAGGTTTCCAAGCAAATGGTTTTTGTGAAGATGGTAACGGGCCGTCGGCTAAGTAACTCGCCAAATGCAATTCAATTCCTTTATTTAATTGTCCGCTAACAGAGCGGCATATTGCAAATGTACGTAACAGATGAGAGACAAAGGCGAATAATAGAACTGGACTAAAACTTAATCCTTGTTAATCAAATAATCTCAGTAGGATTAAGCAAAAAGAGTGATGTTATGTTTATTGAGAGCGTACAGGTAAAAGAAGTAAAGATATTCCTGTAACAGGCCGTGGAGACACATACACGTAAGATTGTCAGACGTCGAAGCTCCCATATTTTCTAGACAATCGGCTTACAGATGGCGATGAAGTCAGCCTTAGGCGCCGGCCGCCTTTACCCCCCAGGAAGATTACTGGTACTCATTTCTGTTAGAGACTGAGTCGACCCTAGGACCATAGTGCGGATGGAAGATATAAGTCAACTGAAAAATCCAATGACCTCATCGGGAATCGAACCCGCGACCTTCTGGCTTGTAGCACAGTGCCTCGTGATTTGCAAACTGCCTGCATATAAACTTCTCCACGAGAGACTGCACAAGGGACGAAACAAATACAAAAGAATTCATGATGAGATCACTTGGGTCACACATACATTAAACTTCCTCTAGTCCTATCTTTTTTAGAAGCTTCCTATTAAAAAACCACCAGCGTCCCTCAAACCTGCAGGGGGTGGAAATAAGAGGCTTGCTTGGATCATATAAGGGAGGGACCCTCCCCGGAGTTATTTTTATGACTTAAATCACATCTTTCATTCACAAGGGCGCATAGGTTTTTCTAGGGTTTCACAAGGGCTTAAAGAAATAGGTATACTGCCACCCAACATCCATACGGAAAGTGCTGTAAAGTTCCATTTTATTTATAAAATCTTTGGTGAGGGGGATGATACAAAACATCGGTTCACTTTTTATTTAGAGAAGGTTATTGGAATAAGTTTCCCCACCCTTCGGGTTGGCGTCACTAACGGACGAACCAATAAATCTGCGATGTACATCTCTTGAAGGCCATGGAAGGCTCTGAGAACATGCCCCCTCTCTTCAACACTTGTTGATTCTGCCTCTTCTCAGACATAACAGAGACTGCAGAACCGCCTGAACTATTACATGCTGACCACTGGCTTGTGCCGACCAGTTGCCGCGCGGCCTTTGCTCGCTCGAACGCTGAGATCGTGGGTTCCAACCCCCTCAATGCATGGATGACTGTGTGAGTTTATTCTGTGTTTGTGGTGTCCTGTGTGCAGGTATCGGCTTTGCGATGGGCTGATCCCCGTCCCCCGTCCAAGGAGTCCTACAGACTGTGTAAAAGGTTAATAAACTGAAAAGGCGGCCAAGGTCTAACAAAGGGGCTGCAGAGCCACAGCTATAAAAACTGATATGGATGTAAGATTTGAGGCTTTCACGGCGGTGACTATGAAGAAAGCAGTCTTCTGGGATTTGGCACCGTATATATGTGGTGTTAACCGACGTTCCTCCGAAACGTCAAAATCCCAAATGTCAAATCCCAGAAGACTGCTTTCTTCAACTGATATGGATGTCTCCTAAAATAAAAGCTCGATTGAAAATTCGAAGGAACTCATTTGGGATCGAACACGCGAGCTTCCGGCTTGTAGCATAATGCCCCATTCAGGGGCCGGTGGGAAATTTAAATATAATTTCACGGGATTCCTGTTCCTTTGCGATGCCGACGCAAGAGAGGAGTAGATGGAGCCTAGCTCGCCTCCGTTTCGGGAGGTCAGTATGTCGTGTTCACCACCGTCAAGTATAAAGAAGCTACGAAGTATTGTTTAAACTCTTCCTTTTTCCCCTTTTGCTTCTAATTCTTTCATTTATTTCTTTGTTTTCTTGCTATCTTCCCTTATTCTTTCTGCCTTTCGCTGTTTCAAGGACCGGATTCATCTTCATTGGTTGCATTGGATTTAGCTAATTAATTTCTTCAGCGAACGTTTAATAGTGATACGAATTCGATTCAGGAGACCAACTGACCTCTTCTGCGCAGGCGCAAATAAAGAGAACCGCTATACTCTGTAAGCATTTTGGTTCTGATTATTAAGATGCGAAACAAAGGAACTCTACTTATGCACACTTCCCTTCTTCCCTGGAAAACTATTTTAATCGTGTTTAAAGGAGGATGAAGCCGTACTGAATGACCTGTCGAAAATTAAATTAATTAACTTTGTAGCATACACAACGACCACCTTTGTGGTCTAGGGGTCAGAGTTCCTGCCTACAGTTCTAGAGGTAACGGGTTTCGATTCCCGGCGCGATCAGATTTTCTGAGAAGTAGTGGGTCTGGAACGGGGTCCACTCAGCCTCGTGAGGATAACTGAGGAGCTATTTCTGGGAAATAGCGGCTCCGGTCTAGAAAGCCGAAATTAACGACCGTGGGGATATTCGTTGCACTGACCACGCGACACCCTCTACTCGCTAAAGTTGGTACTAACTTCGCTGACAAGCGGCGGTCGCTCGGTCGATATAGTTCGCTTGCGGACTAAAACCACGGAGTTTGATTTTTATTTTGTTTATAGCATAAACTACATGGAAAGCATACGTTGCATAACCATTTCTCTGTGCTGCTGATGATGCTGTAAAAAGTACTGTATTGATTTTAGACTAATATTCGATAGCACTGCACGCGAAAGGTACACAGGTTACTTATACGCTATTGCTGGAGTTTCAATTTTGTTACGGGGGTAAAAATTAAGAATGTGGTCTTTCGGGAAGAAACCAGCAGCCCTTAAAAATCCGCAGATTCCATCTTCAGTGTTTCTCTCACATTCTGACAACTATGTACAAGACTGTATGTCCCACTATTTCAGAAAACCACAATTTAAAATCTCCAATCGGAAGAGGCAATATGTCAGAACACACTTCATTTGTCTAATCACTTTAAGTTGATTCCAAGCTAAACAAACGTTAACATCTATAACACTCTAAACATGCTGCGAAATACAGCCGAAGTTAGAAGGAAAGATGCTTCAATTACGTTGTGTTCTATCGCAGTTGCTGCTTGCAGATTTCCCCCCTAATTAGAAAAGTTGACACCGCGTGTGGCGCTGGCTCAGCTGCCAGATGTTAGGGTCAAATGAACACTAGAGCGCTCTCTTTCGGCCGCCGAAATCCTCCAATGTCCCATCTGTTTGCATTGCTAAATAGCAGTTTTACTGAATCTCTTGTTCTGGCTGTTCACAAAGGCTGCTTCACTAGACGTCTATCTCGTTAAGGAAGTGCGCACTTACCGTGACTTTTACAGCAACGCTTCTCCCTCATGGCAGGGTCGCGAGCATCTGCAAGGGAATAGCACCGACGAAATTAGAACAATGATTCCATTAAATTATTATTCTTATTAATAATTTAATATTTAATTGGCCCTTGATTGTTGAGCTTAGCACGTAAATAAACAAATAATTGAATTATCAGTGTGACGTGGACGACGCAACGCTAGTTAAACACCCCCCCCTGAGGTAACTAACAGGGGAAACCACGGTTGCTATGCAGCAATAAACAACTCTCGGCAGCGTTGCCCAACAACGCCTTTGTAAACACGACGTCACGCAACAGGGGAGCCCGTTAGCGGCTGTTGCTAGGCAATCGGTAAACACGACGTCACACAACAGTGAAAGCTATCACGTAACTGTTTTCTGTGTTGTCCGTGACGAGGCTAAATAAGGAGCAGCGAACACTATTCAGTAGTGAGTACTGAGTCAGTTACGAGTTACGACCAGTTGAAATATAGCCTTCGCAGGAGACAGTTGAATGGATTCGCCAAGATGTAGTTGAACAGAAACTGAGATAGTGAATTGTATAACAGTGGAACGAATGTTCAATAAATTCGCTATATCAAATAAGGCGTGAAGTTACTCGTCGCCTGACATTTTTTCCCCCCTTGGCACTACAGCCCCAGTGGATCTAGGCCTACCTCCATGAACTTCTTCGTTCACTTCGATTTTTCTAGCTCTTACACATTCGGTAGGACTTCTTGGGCGGGTGATCAGCTCGTCGCTAGGCCTCTACCTGCTCATAAACAAAGAAAAACGCACACACAAATTAAACATCCATGCCCTAAGTGGGATTCGAACACACGATCCCGGTTTCCAAGCGAGCGAAGACAGTACATGCCTTAGATCGCTCGGCTACCGTGACCGGCCGCGTGACATATACCCAATATTATTATTAACAATTCTCGCAATATGGCTTCATTTCAGAATGTTCTTAAAATCAGGAATATTTCTAATGCTTTCAAGGGGAACTGGTGTAACGTCCGTTGAGAACTCAACGGGAAATGTCTTCAAAAGCTTTCGTACTATTAGCTTCCCTTGCGTTCCCCAGTATTCCGCTCCAGCCCTACATATTATCGAATGATCCTTAGAGGTTGACGTTTAATGCCATCTTCCGTGAATAATTCGCATAAATTACCAATAGTAAACTGTGAAATTTATATAGGACAGTACGTTTCATATATCCACATCAAAATACTAATAGTACTCACATAGTAGACAAGATACACTGAACTTTACTGTTTGCATTATGCAGTATATTAGTATATAGACGTATGGGGGAGTGCATGTATATTTTCTTGTTTCTGGACTTCAGCACTAGCTGGAGCTGAGTGGCCATTTTCACGCCCCGAACGCTTTACACGTGGCGAAAAGAGCCACCGGTACCCATTGGATAGGAGGTTGGGTGGACCCCAAAGCCGGTCTGGACGACGTCGAAAAGGGAAAATTCTTGGCCCTACCGCGACTCGAACTCCGGCCTGTCGGTCTTTCGACCCGTAGTTAGTCGCTATACCGACAGTATCCAACAAACAAACAAACAAGCAAAAAACAAGAAAACATCAGTTAGCACATCGGAAATATGTGACATCATCTTGACAACAGGCCTTAAAGGCGGTTACTATCTTTGATTTCACCCTTAATCGGATGTCGACATGTCAAATTGCTTTCAGGAATATTCCAGCGTTCATTCCACTCACGTGACTCCTCCAGTTTTCTTGGTAACGTTTAATGTTGTCTGTTACTGGCTCTGTCTTCGAATTACTTCGAAATGTCCTCATTTCTGTAATGGTCCCACCTCGTATAAACTTCCTCTCTACCCGTAAACTGCATTTTGCAGGCCGCTGGGTGGTGCTCTTTTTTGTTTTGTTCTACAAGGCTTGAAAGCACACAGGTTGCTGGCCAGGAGAAAGTGATCCAGCGATGGCTTTGCCATCTCACAGCCTCCGGACTCGGTTTCCGAACCACAAGAACCTCTCCTTCTGCTAGAAAAAGGTGTGTACAGATTTAAGTCCATGCGGCCAGGATGTACGGCGTTGCATCCAGTGAGAACATGATGGCTACAGTATAGTAACTCCACGGAGCTGAACCCTTCTTGAGAAGTCGTAAGTTGCGCAGTTACTTAAGAATTTCCAAACATTTTATCGAACCCCAAGGCTCATTACCTATCCTGAGACTGACAGAGTCCGTACCATCTCACTGTATCAATTTCAATATTGTAAACCCAACTACGTCTAGGTTTTCCTGGTGGTCTCTTTCCTTCTGGCTTCCCCACCAATATCCTATATGCATTCCTCTTCTCCCACATTCGTGCCACATTCCCTGTCCATCTCATCCTCCTTAACTTAATCGTTCTAATTATACTTGGCGAAGAGTACAAATCTTCGTCCGTTAGAACACTGGGATAGTGGGTTCGAATCCGACTCGAGGTATGGATGTCTGTGTACGTTTATTCCGTGTTTGTGTTGTCCTGTGTGTAGGTAGCGGCCTTGCGAAGGGCTGATCGCCCGTCCGAGGAGCCCTACTGTCTGTGTAAAGATTAAAGGTAAATGTATCCCTGCAACAGGTGATGGAGGCCTATAGGGGTGCGAGATGTTGAGGCTGCTACATTTTGTAGACAATTGGCTTACAGATCGCTGAGATTATTAGCATTACGCGCCGACCGCCCTTAACCCCTAGGAATATTCCTGGTACTCATTTCTGTTAGAGGATCAGTCGACCCCAGGGCAATAGTACGGCTGGAAGGATTAGGTAAACTGAAAAAAAAAAATCATCTCATCGGGATTCGATCCCACGACCTTCCCGCTTGTAGCATAATGCCTCAACCAACTACGCTACCGCGTGCCCCCTTCTGTATATATTAAGAACTGACAAAGCGGCCAAGGGCCACGAGGGCTGTAGAGCCATAGGAAGATAGTGATTATATATTTCATGAAGGAATATACATCACTGGTAGTACTTACGAGCAGTATCAGAAGATGGCAGCAATATCAAGTGAGAGGTACCTATGTGTACAGTCGTTATCATAATCTTCGCTTTAGCCGAAGGGGTTACAAGGCGAGATATTGAGTAAAATCGTGATTTCCGAGTTTCCCTGAAGGACTATAATGTACAATATCTCATGACAGAAAGGGTTAGTTGTGTAAACTGTAACTAGACATCGGGACCGCCAATTTTGCCTACCGAATTTTAAACGAAAAATTCACATCTGCATGGAAGTCAGCTGTACTGCATAAAGGAGAAAGGATAAAATTGTTAGGTCGGACTGTTCCCGGTATTGAACACGTGTGCAAGTAATTACGCGTCTGCAGCTGTGAGTTTACAGGGCTTAATATGTGAAGAGCAACGAAGCAATGGTTGCAATCACGGTTCAAACACGACGTGTGCATGTCACAGTTTCATAGCGCGGAATTATAGCGTTAAGGATCTCATAATTCATGCGCAGAAAAAGAGAATGTTTGCATTAATATTACTGTTATGAGAAATTACTGCTGAAGTTTTGTTTCTCTGTCCATACTCCGAGCTGACAGAGGAAACATTACTTCGCTGTCTGACGCCTGACAGCGGGCTACTGGAAACTGGCGCTAGTCCCTTCACTCGACCCCTGCCTCTCCTGATATCGAGTTCAGTTTGCAGTAGCTGAAACTAGAAAATCTCAACAAATAATACAACCCACAAGAAGCACACTGTGTTACGATCACAGAAACCAGCCGGCTAAAACTACAGGAAACAGCCACTGTTTATTCTGATAATCAAATGGAACACGAAAAAATATTGTGGTGGAGAGTGTAGAGATTTCGATTGTTGAAACGGGCGGTAGCTCGTCATTGTGCTTTGAAGGGTTACAGAGGTAACAAAGTGTGTTCTGAAAATCATATAAAGAGATCTTTTAAACTTTTTAACCACAATTTAAACAGATTGCACCCCTCTACTTAAAGCGTTAAGAAAATAACACACGTTTATACAGAGAATCATAATAAGCATAAATACTGCCTCGGGGAAAAAAATTCATAATCTTAATTTTGAAACATCTTCTGAAAATTGTAGGAGGGTACGCGTGACAAAATAACGGGGTTCAGTTCGGATTATTGGATTTATTGGCACCTTGGTTAAAACCTTTCTTCATTGCACTTAAATACAGCACTATCGCTCATTTGCACATTTAATATTTCACCGTTGCACACTCATCAGGACTCCCCGTCTTTACTAGTCGTCTATCGGCAACGGCTTTCAACACAGAAACTAGCGCTTCAGACCACTCTGAAAGCAGGAGTTTTATACCTAACCCTTCAGAAGTCAGCGGTTAGCAAACGTAACATATGCTTCATCATTACATCTGAATCTTCCCTACATTTCAACTAACTGCATTAACTGACTGGTTATGTAATGAGACCCTGCAAAACATAACTCAAATTATAAAAATGTTTAGACGAATTCACTTTCTGTTAAGCCCTCCGATGTTTAATTGCTATTGATTACGACATATGAATTTAAACTAATGATATAAAATGCACTGCTAAGAACAAGATAATTAACTGATGCAATTATGGCAAAACAATGGATGGTTTATTATCTTATTAAATTAAATTGAATCAACTTAGATAGAAATCTTGACAGGCCAGGATATAAATGTCTGTACGCATCGCTTCAAGCACAGGTCTCCCTCTGAGACATGGCAGTGGATCAAACTTCTACATTACACCCTAGAAACTGTTAAACAGCCCAGCGATATTAGTGAGGAGGCGATCGGGGATCGATTCCCGATAGCGATGGCAAAGTTGTCCTTGTGCTTAAGTAATTAAGCATTACGCCATGAAGGCATATGGGGAAATAGGTCCACGTTTACTTGACCTCGGCTCAAGTTGGAGTTGAGTGGTCAGCTTCACGCCCCTGCCGCTTTAACCCTAGGGAAAGAGCCTCCGGTACCCACTGGATAGGAGGCCGGATGGGTCCCAGACAACTTTACCTTGTATTGGGGTTTTATTCAGGTGTGTCTGGCAGAGTTAGGACTA